CCCAGCGTCTCGCAGGGGCTCTGTGGGGATGGCAGTCAGTGGGGTGGGTGCAGACCCCATGCACCCTGCCCTCCCCACACCCACCCAGCAAAGCCTGTCCCCAGGAGACCCCCCAGGGGCACCCAACTCCCTGCAACCCCGGGGCTGCCCCAGTTCTTCAGTCCAAGGTCACCAAACAGGGAGCCACACTGTCCCTTGCTCTTGGGATGATGTCCCTTCCTTCTGGAGTGGACACTGCCCTGTCCCTGTCCTTGCAGTCCCCTAGGCAGCCCACCCCCCCGTGGGGGTACCTGGTCCTTGAGCTCCTCCAGTCCCAGCGTGGCAATGCTGCCCGAGGGCTTCTTCAGGGGTGGTTTGGAGCGGCGCAGGACCCGGCTCACCTTGTCCCGGATCACCTGGGTGCAGATGAGGGGTCAGCCCTGGACCCACACGCAGGCAACACCCCCGTGTGTGGGCACCCCAGTCTGCACAGACCTGCCCCCCGCTCCCCTGCCTGCCCGGGGGACACAGGGCTGGCAGCGGGGACAGCACCTCTGCCCACCACCCTCCCCGTCCTCAGCTTCCCAAGGGATGCTGGTGGACCCATCCTCCTCCCTCTGCCCCCTGCTGGCAGTACTCCAATTTGGGGGCTGTAGGTGGCCCTCTGGGGTGGCCAGGCACAGCACCCCCATCCCTGGGGAGCCCGGACCGCGTTCTGCACCTCATGTGCATGCAACGGCCCCGCTCCCACCACCCAGCCACAGCCTCAAGGGCTCAGCACACCTCGTAGACATAGTCCAGGATCTCCAGGATGGTGAGGATGCTGGCGCCGATGAACAGGCCCATCTGTCCCCCGATGTCCCCTGGGGAGGAGGAGGGGATGGTCAGTAGGAGCTGCTGTGCAGCCTGCTGGGAGCCCAGGGTGGGCCAGCGGGGCTGCGGGCAGTGCCAGGGCTGCTGGACGATGGGGGACAGCGCGGTCACGGGGGCAGGGGCGGCAGGACGGAGGGAGCAGGGGACATGTGGGACAGGGGACAGCCAGCAGCATGCCACCTTTGAGCCAGGCTGCGGCCGGCTCCTGCCCCATGCGGTCTCCCCCCCAGCCAGCCCTATGCCCTCCTGGGCTGGGACCCAGAGGTCCGCGCCTTGGGGTCCCAGGGGAAGGTGGGGGGAGTCACCGAGAAGCCCAGCAAGGTCGTAAGCTTTCTTCTGCTCAATGGCCTCGTAGTTGAGCGCCTCAAAGAAGATGTCCAGCACCAGGAAGTTCTCCCTGTGGGGACACCACAGTGCTCAGCAAGGAGGGCTGGTCACCAACCCTCCCACCCCCACAGCCCCCCAAACCTCGGGACCCTGTCCCCCAGATCCCAGGTGCTCTCAGGTGCTCCCAGGGCCATGGTGAAGTTATGCAGGCTGGGGCGGTGGGGACACGGAAGGGGCATGTCCCAGGCCAGGAGGGACTGTGAGGTGGGAAGATGCTGGCAGGAGGGCTGGGAGGACACGGATGGGTCAGGGAGATGCTCTAGTCACAGCCACCCCTGGGCAGGGGATGCTGCAGGGACCACACGTGCCAGAACCCCCTCCCCCCACACTG